ACCATCATGGTGATTGTTGAAATCACTAAAAACCATGTTGCTACATAGAATACTAAATAATGTTTAATTCACTTGGATACTCTCTAATCTATCTCTTAGATTGGCTTAATTGCAAATGAGCAAGTGCACTAAATGTAAAAAGGATTGAAGCACTATGAGTGCAGTTATGTCATTATGATTATCAGTCGGGTCTTGCCTATCACAGATGCTCATTGAATAAAACCTGTGAATAATGTATTCAAAAGTACACTGAGAATGCTAATCACTTCTAATTACCAAATAACAGACTCATCCTAATTTGTCTCCCTTGAAGATGAAAAACAGATTGGCCACTCATACTGTAACACACAATCACACCAATGAGCATGCTCTCCCATGCATGCATGCATACATTGCCTCGCTTTTACCTCTCCTCTTGCTACATGTCAGGCTTGTGTCAATATAACGAACAGATTTGTGTCAGATATGACATATCATGAACCCCATTAATGCAATATATACATTTGTTCAGTGTGTTTTAAACATGCTTCAAAGGGTGGTTTCCAGCTCATTCATTCAGTGACATATACACGTCTTTAGATGGAAGCAATCAGTTCACACAGCCATAAATCATTTCTACATCCATCCATCTGATAGTAAGGCCAAAGACACCATCCCCTCATTCCACACACATACACTCATGCTTTACTTTATACATGAAAACCCACAATCCACCGTTCAAGCTCTAATACATCTGATCTGTAAGTGTTGTTTCTCTGTGTTTCTTCTGCATACTAAAACATACATAATGTCTCTACATGCTTTTACATTCATTGTGTAATGCTGTGGTAACTGCTTTTGACTGTGAGCTGTCTGTGCTATGTGTTGTGGAACGGCTGACATTGCTATTTGTGAGGCTGCATCTCAATATATGCCGATAAAATTGTTAATGAGATTTACATTCATAAACACAAATAAACACATTTCCACAGAGTTGACTCCTGTGGGTCACCTATGCTGTATCATGTGCACATTTCACAAGGATATGCATACAAAATAAAGGGTGGAGGGAGAACTGTCTAACAGTCTCCGAGGCAGCCCTGCGATCTTGGGATGTTTGATAGTTCACTTATGAGTTAAATGTATTAGAGTGAACTACAATAACTACTTCCTGGATATACCCCATCTACAAAAACATAATGATAGGACTGTATATTTATGCTGCTTTGGAAGCTAGTCTAAATTTGGACCTTTTGATTCTTGATTCCTTTGACAAATGTTTTCCAAATGAGTGTCTAAGACCCATTTCATTCATAACAGGGCAGCTGTATTGCTTTACCCTTTTGCCCTATATATATATATGTTCTATGAAAGGTTTTATATGAAAGAGTTCTGTCATTGGATTCAACCGCATCTCTAAAAGTTCAAACCTGAGAGTAACCATTATACTGCATATTGCCATTGTCAGAACTCTTCCATAACGGTAATGTCTGTGGTTTTGACCATGTCTGATTTTTCATATAATCCATGTCGATTCAGCACGAGTAGAGCAGGCACTTCCTTGTGTATCATCATCGTTGGTACACCTAAAACAGCTGACCTCTTCTCTTTGAGGTCTGGATGGAAGTTGCCGGCCTACTCGTTCTAACTCTACACAATGATCTGTGTCACTGTGGCTCAAAGCTCTCATATTTGTTTTTGTTTTGTTTTTATAGATAAGTACTCTGTGTTGAGGGGTGTAGCGGGAGAGAGAGAGGGGGAGAACAATTCAAAATGCCATTTAAACATCTCCCCTTTCCAGGTATATAACCACTGTGTGAATGTCTCTCTGAGGACACGACACAGACGACCTGCTTAACTGTGTGTGCTGACTGACTGCCGTGTCTCTCTTCTCGCTCACCCCCCACCCGTTTGTCTCTCCAATTGACTTCTCTCTCTCCTCAACCTTAAAATCCTTTCATCTGCCTGATCTTGTCTGTCACTCATCCCTTCTCTGTCTCCGCCCGGCTGCTGATTTTCTACCTGTGTCTCTGTTTGGCTTCTTTATTTTGTGGGGTTATAAACTTCCCACTCAACTTGCATGCACACAAACACATTTATACGAATTACTCCATAACTCTCTCCCATAACCCTGTCTCTCTCCTCCTGTCCTTTTTACACACACACACACACACACACACACACACACACACACACACACACACACACACACACACACACACACACACACACACACACACACACACACACACACACACACACACATGCACCTCACAAACTAACACCAGGCGCAGGCAGATGGCCCATCTGCCAGGCAAGCTGCTGATCCTTGCCCTCACACCACAAATGAGCGCCCTCATGCCCTGGGCGCTCAGACCCTGAACCAGAACCCCAGCATGGGCCACACCAATGCCCCCTCCACCCACTACCAGCCCCCGGCATGCTGCGACATTCCTTGTGCCCTGATCGTGCAGCACTCCTACGAACACACCAACCCCTCCGAGCTCACCCCCAAAATGAGAATGACCACCTTCACCACCTCACCTCCCACCCCAAGGTTATACATACAATAGAGGATAGAAATAAATCATTGGTTAGTAACGCTTGAAGAACTGGTATAATAAAGGAGTGAAAAGGTATAAAGAGGAACAATGGACATTAAGTTGCAAGGTTCAAAATGTATTGTTCACAGAAAAGCTTACTGCTGGATACAAAAATATCTCTTTCAAAAACGTTTATACACCTGGCATGTTGCCGGTTGACTATGTGTGCAATGATGCTTTCCTGCCTCTAGAGGGTGCTGTCCCTCTATATAGAAGCAAGTAAAGTATAATCTTGAAACCTGAAGGTTAAAGCCTTCAATTAAGTATTTACTTCATGTAACATGGAGATTTACTAAAAAGTCATATTACTAGATGAATCCAAAACACAGTTTGTTGTGTAAACTTGGCTTTGTCATCCAATATAAAGCCTTTATATTGCACACAATAGATATATATTTGAATACATTTCAGATATTCAGATACATTTAGATTTATAATTGTATTAATGTAAATATAGGTAATGATCAGGTGATCAGTGTTGACTAAATCAGTGGGCTTTATAATGTAGGAAATCTTCCTTCACAATAATATAAATGTAGTCAGGTCCTCCCCCTCTTTTCCACAGAAGCCTTCCACTTCTCCTTTCACAGTACCTTTCAGTCCTTAAATATTCCCATTAGTGTCCTTTAACTTACAGCAGACTGACCATTTGTGATTCACTGTTCTTTTTCATTTCCCTTCATTTCTTTGATACCAACCCTAACCCTTTGGATATCCCCTCCGTTAAATGTAAAGTGTGTTTATGATAGTGTCACGACAAACACTAGCGCCCCTTCGTCCTCTCCTCCCTCCCACTGTCCCTTCCTTAGATGGCAACCAGGGGGCACCATTGCTTGTCCCCTCTGTCCGTGAGCTTCATACAGTAGGTCCAGAGCCCCCTCCAGACCCCCAGACCTAAAGGACACGGTCAGTAACTCTATCTTTACCCCCAATAATGTGACTCCCTTCCTCACAAAACCCTGTGACGTTACACAAAGTGTGAACCTTAATGGTACACCTATATTGATGTGACACCCCACACTTCCACAGACCTAACTCTCAGACCCTTACCTTCCATAAAGCCAGAGAAGCACCTTGCCATGTGTGTGGACAATGGAAGCATTTTAGGAGTTACTACATTTCAGCAAAGCCTTTTCCTCTCGCTATCCTCACCTCATTCATTGCGTACTCAGCTCCCTCACACCACTGTCCCCTGTAAAGGCATGCATCACCTCTCAGTGAGTGTAACCATCCTTGAATGAATATGTGAATATAGTCATTATAAGTCTCATTTAACATATACTGCAAGTTAAGGTAAAGCCTAAGTTGATGTATGCACTTTCTTTTTGAACTGTTAAGACTGTTAAATATTGTTTGATTGAAGTTTAATAATCTATCTTCTAAAATGCATTTGATAAAGGAGCCATATTGTATGTGGCCTGGAAAAATTTCACCTGAAAATGAGATGTCAATCTCAATGTGAATTTTTTGGCATGTTGGCCATGATGCAATGTTGACAATAAGCAGGAAAAATACATAGGTTAGGTGAGGTATTGTTAAGCATTTGAACTGGCTTATGTAAAAGAGGTTTTATTTGTAATGTTATGTTATTGTAAGGGACAGTAGACCAAGCACAAGCCCCCTGGAATCGCAGAGCGCACAGCATGATGGTGGTGTGTTTTCTGTGTGTATTCCAGATTATCTGCACTCCCTTAAAGACCTTGTAGAAGTGTGTGTATGTTTCTCTCCTTCTATATCCTCACCACAGCTCATAGTGTGCTTCTCTTCCCTCCATCTTTCCCCTCCTCTCTTTTGCTCTCCTTGCTTCCTGTCACATTTATGGTTCCCATTGACCACCAAACATTTTTTTTAATAACTTTATGTTGTGCCATCCCCACTTTCTCTCCTAACTCAACATGGGTCTCATTTTTAATTGTGCCAACACTTTTGTTTGGCTACATGCATGCCAAAATGTCCTCACCTGCATTGGCCTTTTCTTTCTTTTACTATTTTTCTCTCTACCCATTTGTACTGCTCAATACAAATTACACCCAACCCTTTTCCATTACTTCTTAAAAAAAATACACCCTCTCTGCACGTACTCTCATGTTTCCTTCACTGTTCTCTCCATGTCCTTACTTTTGTTTTTGCACTACCCTCACTCTTCCTCCACTCATTTGTACCCTCTCTCTCCCATTACCTTCCTATCAAACTTTCCTTGAATAATCCCTCACATCCTCTTTCTTCTTTCTTTTCACTTCACCACTTCCCTCACCTTCTCCCACCCTTAAACACTAACCCTGGATCTTTCTCCTCAAACATCCCTTTTAAATTCTACGTTCCAATGTGTTCTTTCTAACTTCTCATTCCCTTCTTCCATTTACCATCACCACTTCCTCTTCTTCGCTCTACTACTCCCCTGCCCCTCCCCACCTGCAGGACGATAAGGAGATCGACCTGGAGCACCTACACCGCCGGGTTAACAGCTTGTGCACCGATGATGAAAGCCCCCACAAGCAGTTCTCCACCTCTTCCGTCGATTTAACTCCCCTTGACATGGATGCCCTGCCTGCGGCACGCCAGGCACTCGAGCAGATCAGCGACTTCCGCAACACCCATATCACCACCACCACCTTCATCCCCGAGCAGATCCAGACCCTCAGCCGCACCCTCTCTGCCAAAGCTGCTGCTGGATTTTCCACTGGTTTCGGTAGCGGTGGCGGCGTCCTCCAGGACCACCGGACTGGCGGGGTGGGCCCTTTTAGGCAGAGAGCCCCCAACGGTGGCTTCTTCCGCAGCCCTATTAAAACAATGTCCTCCATCCCCTACCAGTCCACAGGTCCAGGCCCCAACTTTGGATATGGCAATGACCCCGACAGGGGCACCTCTATATGAGGAGTTTCTAAGGATATGGTTGGCTCAGAAGGAATAGGAGCAGAAGGAGGCGAGGTAGTTAGGGTCGGTCATGGGATGGTAGAACAAATGCATTATGGCTAAGCTAAAAAAAATCTGCTAGAGAGGTGTACATAGGAATCTTTATGTTTTTAGTTTCTGCTTGGGTGTTTCCAGGGGTGTCCAATTTTTATGTCGAGAAGACAAAAGAGGTGGAGGTCTATTTGGGCGTTCCTTATCCTCCTGCAAACATTCTGGTAAGGTTCAAAAAGGGAAGGGGGTGGGAAGGGTTGACTCTTTGCTTTGTTGTTGTTGTTCTTGTGATTGTTTGGGGGATTATTTTTAGGGATATGTGTGAAAGGGGATCTTTTTCTATTGCTTCTGTTTTACATTATGAGGACTGCCTCATGTAATGGAGATCTGCTGAAATGACCTGACTATTATGATCTAAATCCCCTTGGAGGGTTTAGTTTACACTACTCCTACCACAGGAAACACGTATATTCCTGTGAGCTCCAGGGCTGCCATTGGTGGATGACTGGTGGTGTTGTTAGCCATTAAACAATTCTAAGGGACTCACACTACTAAGCAATTATTGAGTTGTTATTTTATGAAGGCGTTTATAACTATAACTTTGTCGGTAGCCCTGGGAATACATACAGCAGCCCCTTGCAGTTTTGAAAAGGCCTGATCTCAGTGAATATCGGAAGACTCCACTTCTCAACTTTTACTCTGCCTTTTCACTTTGTGGGAGTCCATACTGAGTTTTCTCTTCTCTTGCTTCACCGATACTTGGGGTTCTAAATGCGTCCAAGGTGGTGTCAATACGGTGGCCAGACTACACTGAGACGTTACAGTTGAACTCACACTGACCCCATCACGGAGCATCCATCTGAATACTGCTTAAACGCCATGACAGTGCAACAATATGACACTGAATCACCAGTTTGGTGCGTCGGTCTTTAACTATTTCTGCCATTTTGGTGCATCAGTCTGAAACTGTTTTCAACACTTTGATGCACATTGAAGACTCTTTGTCAACCCCACTGCACTGTACCAGTGCCCACAGACCTGTAAGTGATTGTATGTAGATCTGACCTTTTCTTTCTCACCTGTACTGTGCTCTCTGCTTTCAAAGTCAAGGTGAGATCCTCTTATCAAACTCTCAGAGGGATAATAAAAAGGGATGATACAAGAACAACTTAAAGAAGAAAAAACATAAAAGACAAGCCGAAAGACTTCCAAAAGCTTATGCTTATTATATGTCTTTTATTGACTTTTGTTTTTGAAAAAAATAGATTTAATGCGTGGAATGTGTTTTGGTCAGGAAGTACAAAAAATAACATTGTTCTGAGCTGTCTACTTGTTTTTTTCCTCTCAGCAAACTTTGAAAAACTGCTAAATGAGTGCTGTAGTCTCTGGTTTTGCATTATTAAGTCATTCAAACTTTTACTTTTTCTTTTTCTTTGTTTTGCTTAAGTTAAGTGCTGCCATAGCCTGGGTGTTTAAAAGATAAAAGCTCATTATGTGCGGTCGTGTCATGTTGGAGATCATTAATCACTTTTTATCAGGTTCATTTGATGAAAGGGACTATAATTTGTGTTTTGGAGAAGCCATTGCAGCAGCATCTTCAGTACAGGCCTTATACGTATGTCAACTAGCTAGCTTTACCCTCACGGCTTCCAGTCAAAATATCACTCAAAACTGGAAACATTTTAGTGCAGCAATTCAGTCGTTGCGCTAAGGGTCATAGGAATGTCACAAAGAATCAACGCCCATCAGAACCCAGTGTCTGCCTTTTGTGAGATAAGTCAGAAATATACTTCTATTTCATATCTGTAATGTTAAGGGTACTGTTTATATAACTTGTTTTTTTTAAGTGCCAATTAATTCAAACCAGACCATTAAGGTGCATTTTGTGGCGGGGGAAGAAGAAAGGGACATTGAGATCATTAAAGGAATATTTTGTGGATTAGGGAGTGGGGTGGTAAAATGGAACCAAATCTTTTTCACTAACACTGTATTAATAAATGATAATGTTAGTTGTTTAGAACCAGTTTTCAGTTTGTTATCTTTAAGAACTAAAACTGCAAAATGTTGTGCGTAGAGAACTCAGTCGAGCCACAGTGTTTTGAAGCAAGCATTCTTAGGCATTATTTTTCTTAGGCTACAGTATGGCTATTGAATGACAAATAAGACACAGACATTTCAAATGTTTTATTTAGTATAAATGAAAGAGACATTATAAAAATGTATATTTTACACGTTGATGCTATTTTTGTTTAACAAAAAGAAAAGAGTATATCATAATGAGCTATAGTATAGAGTTAAGCAGTCCCATTTGGTTTCTACCTGTTCTCATGGTCAACACAAACTATTTGCTTTTATCATGTCATTCTGAGTTCATTTTTTATTTGCTGGCTAAATAACAAAAAGTGGCAAGTTGATTAAAAAGAAAGCATGCACAAACTTGCTCTTGCGCTATCTGTTAACATTTTTTATTTCATACATAGAACTACAGGATTTACTTGATAATTTTCAAAAATGTATGATGTACAGTATTTAATATAGGCCTATTTTGTTGTATGTGTTGCATATTATTCAAAAACTGAACAAACTGGGGCCTCTGTTACAAGTGGCAAAGCTTTCTGTGTATAATTTGTCTAATAAACAGGTTTTCTACAGAGGTATGGTATTTTCTTGTTTGTGGTAAGCAAGTCAACGTTATACAGAAATATGGTGAATAAATCTACATCATGTCATTTATTAACACATTTGAATACCAGTAAAGATTCTTTGTAATTTATCGCCTCACCTCTGGCATGCATCCTCCAAAATCCAGAAAAGTGTCCTCACTACTTTGACTCTTCAAAGTAATGTTTTCCTTAATGCTAAATCGCTTTTGTCTTTTTCTCTGTTTGCTTCAAACGTCTGTACATTTTCTGAAAACAAGCATTCAAATATAGAGGCACCTCACTAAAGAGCATCTTTCCACCTTTCAAATAAGTGTGCAGTCAATGTTGATCAAAGATTCCAGACGACATAACATCTTCCCTTTCTAGATAAAGTGGCAAAGTTTGTCCTCTCCTCAGCTTTCTGATTCCAGCGCATGTGACTCGTCTACTCTCTTAGAAATGGTAACCAACCCTGCACAAGTCACATCTTACCGGTAAGTTGATCCAGATACTGGTAGGAGTCTTGCTTTTATCAAAAGGTTAAAAGGTGATTCTCCTTTATTCTCTCTTTCGACATTATTTTAATAATAAGCAATAAAAGGCAACTTCTTTCTAAAATGGATTGATACATGTACTGTAGTATGTCATTTAATTATTGCAAGTTGGTTGTAGTATCCTGCTTATAGCTTCAACATTAAACCTAATAGATTTTGGACAAAGGGTAAAAGTGAAATTACAAAAACCAACCATAACAATTTAAATGTTTGTTTTTTTTTGCGATATGAGATGATCTGATGCGTGGAATATATTTTAAGATCAAGCATGAGCAAAGCCTTTGTGTCTTTCACTTCAAATGGCCCATCACTTCAAAGGCCTGTGTACTGCTGTTAACAGCTGGATAGACACACTGCTGCGGACCAATGCTGTCAAGTTCAGTGGAGCACTACATTGAAGTTCTCCAGTTTAACCAGTTGGTGCCACTATTTAGCCCTTCCCCATTGTCTTAGACCTCAAGTCTCTGTTTATGCTTTTCCTCAAGATAAATGACAGATATTGAAAATTAATGTAAGGAATAAATGTAACAGATATTGATGGTGCTTATAATTTCAGTTGACACATTATGTGATAACCAACTTCATATCGTGCAAGATATTTTCTTCTTCTTGTACAAGGCAGAGAAAAATCAGAGTCAGCATAATTATCATTATCTGTATTTCACAACTATGAAGAGTAAACCTGTACCTAAAGTCTTCATGCTCTCCTTTTTCTTTGATAAACAACTTGGACGTGGAATAAATGAATATTTTACTAAAAATATGTAATACAACACTAGACACATTCAAAACAAAATGTCCCGAATGCATAATTGTAATGAATTCACATAAAGGCCTTAAAGTAGGCTACTATCTAAAATGTATGCACGTAGCATCAAATTATAATGCTAATTAGCATTATAAGGTTGCTGGTTGAGGAGATGTTGAGGAGATGTTAAGTTGAATTAATATTTGAGTCATGGTAACACATCATACTTCTTAAGTTGAGTACAGGGCTTTAAGTAAAGTAAAAAAAACGTACAAAGTGTTTTTATTGTTACTTTTCAATAGTAGCCTACTTTTTCAGGTAGGCCTATTTCTAGGAAAACGTAAAAGTTTGTAGAGAAGACAGTTTCCTTAGGTGTGGCAAACTTTTGAGCTTCGAAATACTTATTAACAATACAATTTAGGCTAAGGCTAAGGGCTTCAGTTAAATGTTGAAATCTCTGTCCAGCTCCTCTGACTCCGGTCTCGTGCCCGTCGCGCCCCTGTCTCCCGGGAGATGGGAATGAGAAGCGGCAGCACGCAGACTCCTCTTGCGCATTGGAATGGGAACCTCCCTCGAGGAGCCCCCCAGGCGTGACCAATGGAACATAGAGTCTCCATTGTGGCTCCGACACTTTAATAATCGCCAGCTACAATATCCAACCTGTCGGTAGCTTCAGGAGCCCGGCCCGGCCCGTTGGATGGGGGCTTGTAGGTGGGAAGAGGGGGCGAACGCTCGGCGCCAGACCTCTAGCCCGCAAGACGTCCCCATGATGAATACATGAATAAAAAATACAAAAGATTGATGTCGGGTTATCTCTGGAATTATGGGATTTCGTCCCACAATTTCCAGCTCGTCTAGTTAAAGCAGCATTGTCTTTAAAGAATGAACCCCACATGTCTATCACAGTTTAGCAGTTTATGTCTTTGAATATAAATGTTTTTTATAAATGTAGTCTTATCCTGCTGCTATAACATTTTCGTGCATTGCATTTTGCAATTACTTCATTTAATGTTGTGATAAATTGGACTAGGCAGCAACAGGTACCATCCCTTGGTCATTGTGGCTCATACATTGGGCCACTGTCTACATTCTATCCCTAAATCCACCGTGACAATTAGGTGAAACTGCCCATTTGATCAGTAGGCTGATTACTCAAACAGCTTCAATGTGTCCAAAGTTTTTCTTGCCAAGCTGTAGGCTACGATATTCCCATTTATATGTGTGCACCCCTTTTTTTGAATAATTCATAGTGAATATCGGAAATAATATATTGTCTCATCTAAACATCGTGTTTCGTCTGTGCGAGTATTTGCGTCAGTGTATGTGCGCGTGCGTGTATATCTCGCTGCTTGCCGTTGCAACCGTGCGCTGCGCCACATACAGCTCGTAACAGCGTTGAGCGCGAGCCCCCTGCTCACGTTTCCATTGTGAAGCCCTTTTTACTGGCAGGGCGTTGCAAGAGCTGGATCAAACGGTTTTAGATCCCCGAAAAAATAAAAATGGAAACTGGAGATGATCTGAGAATGAATGAATTGACAGTGAGTGCGCGAGCCCCAGGAGCCCCAAAGTTTTACCAGCTGACTGTTGATCAAGCAACTTAGCCCCAAGCTCTTTTTGGCCAGGCTTTTCTCCCTCAACTTTGTTAATTTCATCAACACATTCCCTGAATGTGTGTCACCATTGAGGGATGAAATAACGTTATTCATTCAAATTTGACAAATACTGAGATGAAGCATCATTATTTGAACTGATTAGGGGGCACATTTATTATGTTAGATTCCTTTGTCTCAACGAATATGTGATGCCTTCTTTGTTGACTAAACTTTGGAGTTGGGGTTACAGTAAATACTATGGGATGCAAAATGAAATGCAGCCTTTACGCCTGACAGTGAAGAGAAACATGTTAGTTAACGATAGTAAATTAACCCTTTTCAATCTTTCTCCTCCCTCTTTTTCCTCCCCCTTAGGCCTACTCATGCACACGCAGGTAATAGGCTAATTATGTCCAAGCTGTGAGTCTCGCGTAGCGTGGACCACGCTTCTTACCTAAAACCGTCACCACATGCACGTGCGTCCTGTGGGAGGTTCCCCTTACCTCCCTCGCGTTAAACACTCCTTAAATTGTAACGTTATCATAAACATTCCGGCTTCGGGGGCCATAATCACCTCTCTCGGGCCTTACCGAGACTTCTCATTGGACGTCAACACGCGACCAGCGCGAGGAGGGGGGCTCCCAGGCGCGTGCCGCTTTTTAAACGGACGCCGCGCCTTGAGACATCAGAGAAGGAGTCCCGCACGCGACAGTCATACTCACAAAGTGCGACAGGAAAGCAGTGGGTGCCTCCAAAAAAACTTATATAGATTCAGTCGGGTAAACTTTTCCTACTTTTCGGGTTCGTTTAGAAACATGGATGTCCTAAGTGTGGAAGACTGGAACAGAGGCGCACAGGAGGTGGCAGCCATCCACGCGCGGCTGCAGAGCCTGAAACCTGCGGAGAGGATTGGGGAGCAGCAGCGCGAGGAGTCCCGCTATGAACCTGGACAGACGCTCGTAGACAGCGGCAGTGACCCACGCGCCTGGCTGGCTCCGGTGCAGCCTTCTGGCACCTGTGTGGCACACGCCACTTCACCAGACTACCTGCGGCACTCGCCCTGCCCCAGCACCGGCTCCTACCAAGGTGAGAAACATTGCTAATAGTGTCCATTTTGGACAACATTTCAAACCAACATTACCTGCAATTCAACACATGCAACAGGCATCTGAGATTTGCAGGGGGTTATAGTTGTGGGTCTCAAATAGGCAGAATTATAATTTATTTTCTTAACAGTCAGCTTAAGTGTCGTTATTTCAACAACCATAGTCAAAAGCTTTTGTATTTATTATAAATTAATCAAACCGGACCAGTTCAGTACATTTTTGTTTCTTTATTTTTCAGAGAGTGGTTCCCCGGATTCCAGTCCTCCCAGCTGCAGGAGAACTGCTAAGAGCCCCTCCTCTTCTTCGCTCAAAGTCAGGGACTTGTGCCGTCTTCAAGGCACGGCCACCGGGTCCGATGACGAGACATCCACGACACAGAGAGCCCAGTCCAGCAGACCTCACAACGGAGTCCAGAAGCAGAGGCGCGTTGCCGCAAACGCACGCGAAAGGAGACGGATGCACGGGCTTAACTACGCGTTTGACGAGCTGCGCAGCGTCATCCCGGCGTTTGACAACGACAAGAAGCTCTCCAAATATGAAACTTTACAGATGGCGCAGATTTACATCAACGCACTGGCGGATCTGCTCGAAGCTCCAGTCTCCTCAAAAAAAAAGCAGTAACGACGTCTCAAACAACAGCAACAACTCGCCAAAGTGTGACACTGTGCTTCCAGCCACCGGTAGTATTGACGGAGCGAAGGACAGGGCTTCCCCGTCCCCTACCACTTGTAGGACGGCAGCGGCTGTCCACATTAGCGGGATGCCTTTCCGCCCTACCTTCGACGACGAATCGTTCTCCGCTATTGAAGAAGCAATGCGTTCGCCTTCTCCTCCTTCTTCCACCCGGGAAGGCAGTTCCCTTGCACCAGTCGGAGGTGGGAGGAAAGATTCTCCCCGAAGCGACGGAGAGTTTTCCCCGCACTCCCACTTCAGTGACTCGGATGAAATAGCGATGGAGCTCCACTCAAGTGAAGAAGATGACCTCTCAGAACTCAAACTAACGCGCCACCAC